TCGCGTTGCTATGCCAACACATTTAGAGCATCGTTGCGCTCTCACACTACTTAAACAAAGGAAAATTATTTCTCAATTTGGAAAGTAATTTGAAAAAAAAATTTTTTTTTACTTGTTTTATTTTGTTCAATGTTTGAGGAGCTGCAGCGTACCTACAGTAGGCATCTATTAGAGAAAAAAAGGAGGAGGATATTAAAAACAAAGTTTATCTGTTTTTACCGAGGCGAATTAAGGTAAGTTGTAAACACCACATCTGCGCTTGTGTGTACGTTACATCTGCCGGCGCCGGCATTTTTCAACTTAACAACGGTTGTTCACGGCGACGCAAAGAATTGTGGGTTATCTGTAGCAGCGAAGGATACACCTCATGTATCCTCCGAATTCCTGTGAAAGAAGGTCGCATTCGAAGGTCGCATTCGGAGTGTCCTACTTGCTTTTCTGAAATGAGACAGCCTCGATGACGTATGCAGCCTTCGAATGCGACCTCCGGAGGGTGCAGCCTTCTAAATGAGACACAGCTAATGTCTCGTAAGCAATGCAGGTGTTTTGTAGTTTGATGTAAAAGTGAACATGAGAGTCTTCATTTTCTCCTGACATGAGAGCCACTGAGGACGCAGTGGATTAGTTTTGTTTTTTTGATGGTATTGCGCCACGAATACACTTAAATTAGCATATGTCTGCACAAATCATTTTACACTTGACTGCTTTCTGAACGAGGGCAGGTTTTGCTAAAAAGTTAAAACTCAAGGATGTATCAGTATCCACTGTTCATGATCCAGCTGCACCTCCAGAAGAAGCAAGTCTCACTTTATATTTTTTATGATTATTTGCAAATCGCCTTTCCTCTTCCACAGAAGAGAGGGGTGGGGTGAGCAGAGCTCATTAGCATTTATAGAGACATGCACCAAAACGTCTCGCTGTGAACAGAGCTGTTTTTGACAAGGTAAAAAGAGTGTTGTTTTACACTACCTTTGAGGAATTTTAACCAAAGTATGTTACAGACAGATCATGAAGACCCTAAAGAATCATACCAACTTGTGGAAAGTGGGCATCTGATGTCCCCTTTAAGATACACTGCCGTTCAAAACTAGTTTGAGGACAGTGAGATTGTTTGTTTTGAAAGAAATGCCGTTATTCAGCAATGATGCATTACATTGCTCAAAAGTGACAGTTAAGACGTTTATAATGTTGCAAAAGATTTCTATTTTAAATAAATGCTGTTCTTTTGAACACTCTACTCATCAAAGAATCCTGAAAACAAAATGTGTCACCGTTTTCAGCAAAAAATATTAAGCAGCACTACTGTTTTCAACATTGATAATAATAATAAATGTTTCTTGAGCAGCAAATCAGCATATTATAATGATTTCTGAAGGATCGTGTGACACTGAAGACAAAATTCAGCATTGCATCACAGGAATAAATAACATTTTAAAATAAATTAAAATAGAAAACAATTGTTTGAAATTGTAATAATATTTCATAATATTACTGCTTTACTGTATTTTTGATCAAACAGATGCAGCATAAGACAAAACATCTTTCAAAAACATTACAAAATCCTAGCAACAATTTACAAAGTTGCAATCTTCTACTCGGTTAATTTATTTTAATGATATTTGAAACCGTATTATATAATAATATTTGGATATTATATAATAATATTTGGAGTAAAATGCAAAAAAAAATTCCATTATTATATACTGTATATTTTAGAGCTTGTTCTCTAACTGAGTATTAGTGTAAAGAGTCAATCCACTGAAGGCGAGCGTAGTGAGAACCCAAGTGCAGTTTATTTACAGAGTGATCCAAACATCCAAACAATAATCCAAGACTCAGACTTGACTTGACTTGAACAGACATAGCATGAGCAGACTTGACACAAACAGACTAGACTCACCAACAGTGGGTTAAATACATTCAATACACGACAAAGGCACAATGGGAACATGAAGCTACTTATAGGAAACAAGGAGGGTCACATGACATGAACAAACCAATGGGGAACAAGACACATGACTAAGACTACCAATCAGAACATGACACAATGAACAGGGGAACCATGAAACAATTACAAAATAAAAGACATGGAAAACATGAACATGAAACAAAACACCACATTACATATCCCCCCCTCCGCAGCGGATGCCGCCACCTCTGGATGTTCTGCAGCGGAAGCTACCAGTTCTGGAGGCACAGGAAAGGCCCTTGGAGCGGACTCGTGGATAGGAGAGGCCTCTGGAGCAGACTCATGGACAGGAGAGGCCTCTGGAGCAGACTCGTGGACAGGAGAGGACTCAGGAGGGCAGTGTGCAGCCCACGCCATAATTCTCCATAGGCCTGTCACCTTGACGAAGGCAGAGGAGGCGGGAAACTGCTGGGATCATGGTGGGGGTCGTGTATTCTATAAAGAGTCAATCCACTGAAGGCGAGCGTAGTGAGAACCCAAGTGCAGTTTATTTACAGAGTGATCCAAACATCCAAACAATAATCCAAGACTCAGACTTGACTTGACTTGACTTGACTTGAACAGACATAGCATGAGCAGACTTGACACAAACAGACTAGACTCACCAACAGCGGATTAAATACATTCAATACACGACAAAGGCTCAATGGGAACATGAAGCTACTTATAGGAAACAAGGAGGGTCACATGACATGAACAAACCAATGGGGAACAAGACACATGACTAAGACTACCAATCAGAACATGACACAATGAACAGGGGAACCATGAAACAATTACAAAATAAAAGACATGGAAAACATGAACATGAAACAAACACCACATTACAATTAGTATCAAAACAATGTGATTTTATTAATCCTCAATGGATTAATAAAGGGACGTTTTTTTCATTTGTATTTTTTTATCAGGACAACATTTGAACTTACGTATGATCAAATATCTCAGTTCTCGGACCAAGTATGTGTGTTCTTGCAGATGGATGATCCCCGACAGCTGAGGGAGGTCATGAGGCCAGAGCTGCTGTCAGTTGTTTTTGCTGTGGTGTCACATGTTCAATATGGCTGCAATATGACTGTGTTGTTGGCCAGCATGATTTCAAAAATTAGAAGTGACAGACAGCAGGAGGAACTTAATTTCACTGAGAATAAGCAGTGGGTGGGCCTGGATTTCACTAATACTGAAGACAAGGGGAGACTGAGGGCATGGTTTGGCTGATGGCCCAGCTACTGTGAAATGGATGTGAGAGAGTAATTGAAAGTATGTGTAGGATGCACTTATTTCTAAACACAATGAATTTATTTCTAAACACACATTTTTGGGTCTGTTGAATGGGACTCAAAGTGAGACATACTACATATTTTAGTGGATTCTAGCTCTAAAGACAAGAAGGCCTGTCTGGATGCAGTCAGTGTTTGATTAATTTCTGAGGTTTATGATTCAGGAAAATTATTATCATTGCTTATTAAATGGCTCTCTAGAATACTTCATTCTGATTGGTCAATCAAAGTAAAATATTTTTGTATAATGACCACTTAATTGCTGACCTTTATCTCAGGAAAACAAATTAGTGCATAACTGTGCTGGTTTCATGTCTATAATTGTTCTGTGGTCTCTTTCTGCTCACGTAATGAAATAATTTGAATTCAAGTCAATACTTCATGCCCATTTATTTATATATTTGATAAAATAGCCTTGTAATAATGTGGAATAATACATGGAGTAATGGAACTGAGCTGGTCATTATTGCAAAATAAACCTCTTAAGGGTGATGCAAAACCTGATCACCCTGTCTGGGTTTATTTTGCAAGAATGACAGTTAGCTTATAAGTCTGTACAGTTTAAAACTGTCAGAGGTTGGTAGGGTCAGTTATGCTGGCTAAAAATCATAATGATACAGAGTGTGGGTTTATGCAGTGAACTGATTTAACATATAATACTCCCTTAAAAATAAAGGTTCTTTATTGATATCGAAGAAACATCCATGGAACCTTTCCATTGCACAAAAGGTTCTTTATAGTGGAAAAGGTTCATTAAAATGTTCTTCACACTAAAAAAAAATGGTTCTTTTGAGAACTGTTCACTGAAAGGTTCTTTGGAGAATGAAAAATTGTTCTTCTGTGGCATCGCTGTGAAAACCCCCTTTTGGAAGCTTTCTTTTTAAGAGTCTAGTATTATCAACATGCATGGTCATGCAACACTGACAGACTGCATGCTGGTTTCTGTCCCTCTGCAGCTGAATTACCTCCGCCCTACACAGCCATCGCCAGTCCAGATGCAGGAGGAGTTCCTGTCATTAACTGTCGAGTGTGCCAGTCACTTATAACTCTGGATGGCAAGCTCCATCAGCACGTGGTGAAGTGCACCATCTGCAATGAGGCCACGGTAAGACAGCTTCAGCTTAGTCATGCACAGCTTTAGTCCTTCATCTGGCTCCTTCCTTTTTTACTAGGGATGGGCAATCTCAAGTTAATGCATACTTCTATGGTAACATTTTATGTTATCGTAGTATGAAGAAAATGTTAAAGAGCCATGTGGTAATGCCTATTTGTGGATAATCCAGTGAATTAAATACTTTACTAATGGAATGTACACTATATCGTTCAAAGGTTTGGGGTCAGTAAGATTTGTTTTTCAAAGAAATGTATACTTTTATTTAGCAAGGGTGAACTAAATTGATCAAAAATGACTGAAATAAATACTATTCTTTTGAACTTTCTATTCATCAAAGAATCTTGAAAAAAATTTAATGGCTGTTCAAAATTCAGCTTTTCCATCACAGGAATAATCTTTTTCAAATATATTCAAATATAAAAAAAAATGTAATTGTAACAATATTTCACAATAATCTTATTTTTACTGTATTTTTAGTAAATAAAGGCAGCCTTGGCGAACATGAGACTTCTTTCAAAAACATTAAAAACCTTACTGACCTCAAATTTTTGAATAGGACTGATGAACTAATCTTCATCCCATTAATTTTTTTATTTGGAACTTGATGGATGTAAAACAAAAAGTGAATGTTAGCGAATTAAGTTTCACAGTATAATACACCTAATTTAGAAACAAAGTCTGAAAACAGACTAAAACGGATCGTTGCAGCTTTAAATTCTTATTGATTGAGCCATATTCATAGCTGTAAAGTAGCTGATTTATGCACACGTGATCGCATATCAGTTAATATATGCAGCAAGTTATGACATAGGTTGACAACCATAAACAGCTAAACTCTGCTTTAATAATTTGTGACATTTCCCCTCTGCTGAACCTGATGTCTTTGCTGCTTTCATATCCAGATTCAAAAAAGTTACAAGTACAAAAGCATTGTTGATTACACAAGTTTTGAATCTGGATGTGAATGCGGGCTAGACACAAGCTTTAGTGGAGGTTAAGTTTATTAGTGAATAATGGTTCAATTTAGTCCACAATACAGCCCTCACAGCCTCATAGAGCCTACAAGTAATTGTGTTTGGGATGAAGGATCCATGTGCATACATACCCATAAGTGTTGTGTGCTCTGGAAGGTTGAATTGCAGTGTAATTGAATTGTCTGCATGAGAAACACTTCACATGAACAGTGGATGCAGAGTCACCTGATTCACAAAACAGCAGAAATCAGGATGTTTTAGAGAGGGAAATGTATCCTGTACAATACCACAGATGAATATAGAGCTCATTTTGATTCTAGACTATGTAATTTGTGTTCCATCTTGTTTAATTTTATAAGGCTCCACACAGTTCTGTTTCATATTGGTTTAGTGTATATACTATACGTGTTGCATCACATTCTTCTGCTTGATTGGTTCAGAATCAGATTTCATAAATGCCTCTGCAGACCTGACATCAGTAGGTATTAAAAGGTTGCTCTGTCTCGATTCATTAAGGCTTCCAGACTAGTCTCTATAATAATAGAATTATTACATAAAGAGTTGTTGGTTTCTTACAGAAGAATGCTTAAACAAGAGCATTTGTGCAAATTCAAAAGCGTAAGGGAGATTTATTATATTAAAGCATTGGCATTACATTACTGTTATCTTGCATATTGCGTGGTCTCGTCTGAAACATGATGTTTTTTTTAAAACAGCCTATAAAAAATCCACCAACAGGAAAGAAGTATGTTAGATGTCCATGCAACTGCCTGCTAATCTGTAAAGACACGTCTAGGAGGATAGGATGCCCTCGGCCCAACTGGTAAGTGTTAAAGACACACTTCATAGGGTCATTTAGTCAGTATGTGTTATGGGATCTGCAACTATATTACTGCGGGTGTGCATTACCATAAACGCTCAAACAAGCAGTGCTGTTTTGAGTTTGCACTTAGTACTGTGTCGAACCATTTCATATGCTTTTACAAAGCGGTCTGAACATTTATAGAATTATTATAGCGAAAGATCAACTGTGAGAATTGTGAGAAATCACTGTAAAAAAAAAAAAAAAATTATAAAGCCTGACATGAAATAATAGTCAGAAGAATCACATTTTTGAAGTGAAAAAGCTGATTGAACCTTTACCTAAAATATTTTGTACATGTGTCTTTGTTGAGTATCATATTTGATAAATCAGGCTTTTATGGCTAATAGAGTATGATATAGTGGGAATGGTGTCAGTAAGGTTTGTTTTTTAAAGAAATTAATATTTTAGCAAAGATTCTCATGCTCAAGGAAGAAAAAACTTTCAGTTTCTCTCAGTTTTATTCTGAGGCCCAAACTGAGCAAAAATATGCAATTTTGTGCAGTTGCTGATACTTGTATGGCCAATAAGTAAGATGAAATTCTGATAGCTTGTAATGTAAATCAGTGAGATCTTTATAACACTATAACACAAAACAAACATAAAATGCATATAAATATCAGTTGTATCTCAATAATATGCCTTAATAATATGATTTTTGAATGCTTAGGCTTATGATCAATTCTCAGTAGTTTTTTATTGTGAGGGCAAAACATATAATGCAGTGTAATACAATGATCATTTAGGGATGAACACAAGCCTGATGTGTCATATTTGATATTCATTTTAACATGATTTTTCTAAAAAAATTATGTATAGATAATCAAGTAAACCTTCATTCCAGTAAGTATTCATCTTGAAATATTACTAACAATGTAAAAGTTATTCTTACATTCACTTTATAAAAATCATCAAAGTGATCACCGATAAAAGACATGAGTGCCACGACCTGAAGGTGGACATTTTTACAATTATACAGAAAAGCTGTTTATTTGCTTAAAATGTATAAACTTTTAATCAGATGACAGAAGGAAAGTAGTAGATTGTGTACAGCTGTTTTTTCAGCAAAGTTTTGATCATATTGATAGTAATTTAAGGATAGGGTTAGGGTTATCAAATAAGATACAGACTTCATAGGGTTAATAAAAACATGCAGATAGGGAAAGTCTGACATTGTTTTCATGGGCCCCCAGCAGACGGATCATCAACCTGAGTCCTGTGATGGTGATCCCAGAGGAGCAGCCCGCCCAGCCAGCTCTGCCAGTCCAGCCTGAGGGCATGCGTGTGGTCTGCGGCCACTGCGGCAACACATTCCTTGTACGGTCTCACATCTTTATATTAATATTTCCTCTTTGACCTACAGTAATGTTTCTTCCAGTGTCAGTATATGCAAAGCAGAGAAGATCTGTGAATGCATTTGCACTACCTTTCAAGTTTGAGGTCGGTAAGGTCACCAAGGCTGCATTTATTTGAAGTAATATTGCGAAATATTAATACTGCTGTTTTCTATTTGAATATATTAGAAATTGTAAATTATTTCTGTGATGGTAAAGCTGAATTTTCAGCATCATTACTTCAGTCTTCAGTGTCACATGATCCTTCAGAAATCATTCTAATACACTGATTTGCTGCTCAAGAAACATTCATTATTATCAGTGTTGAAAACAATTGTGCTGCTCAAAGGCACAATATGTAAGTTTTAGCTGCTAGAGGGCGCGTATTCAAAACAAACAAAGAAACAAAGGCGTAGTTAGATGACGCCGTGACTTAGTGTGGAATCATTGGAGTTGTCTTCATCCCCACAGCCGATGCAATCCGATGGGACTCGGGCAGAAATCATGTTCATGGATGAGCTAATGATTTATTAACGTAGTTGAATGAAGCAGAGTGAGGCTGAAAGCCGTCGAAGCGAAACGAGGCCGCTGAACGAGCGTGACACACGGCTCGAAAGCAGCGGAGCTTTTATTATGCCACAGTCGACCGCTTCCGCTCCTTCCGGTCGTGTGTATGTGGAGTAAAGCAGTGCTGTTTTATCATACTAGATATATTTGAACGTTCTGTTATAATGCTACTCTGTGTGGTCGTCACCTGTCTAATATAATGCATAGCATATTAATGCGCATTGGTGTTTCCATGTTTTCTACAAAACAAATCGAAGGGTGTATGACGTCATTGGCAGGCGACACAATGACACTATGGACACGGTCCTTGTCACTAATTAAAATGGCTTATTTCTCTGGATTGAAACATTCTTCGAAACATTTGGGATACTGTAAGTACACAAGTCAGCAAAATATATAACACCGTTCTAGAGGTTTTTGGATATTTTAATGAAAAAATCGTACATATTGTGCCTTTAATATTTTTGTAGAAACCGTGATGAATTCTTTGATGAATAAAAAGTTAAAAAAACAGCAACATTTGTAACATTATAAATGACTTTACTGTCATTTTCAGTTTAATGCATCCTTGCTGAATAACAGTATTCATTTATTTCTTTCAAGAAAATCTTACTGCCTTTAAACTTTTGAAGGGTAGTGTGCATGTGGTGTAGAGTTTTTCTAGTGCACTTGTTCTTAGTGTCCTGTGATGCCTCTGCGGTGTAGGGCAGCGATGATGATGATGATGATGATGAGTGCTCCCGGTCTTCCTCAGGCCTGGCTATTCACGACCCCTCTGATCTTTTCAAGGTCCTAATATGCTGCCACCTTCTCAGTTGGTGGAACTGACCGAATGACAAACTAATTAAAAAAAATGAAATTTAAAACTAACTTAAAACATGATTCCAGGGCTCCAGACTGTGATTAAAATGTTTGCAAATGTGGCTGAAAAAATTTACTAAAATTAAAATGTATTACATTTATATTTTTTTTGTGAAAAAAATTAAAATTTATGTGCATTTATTTCAAGTTTTGTCAGGTTTCATCACGTGTGTCAACTCAACAAATAATCCATCGCAAGTCATGATGTCCACGAGCAAATGAACCAATTCTTATGAACTTTATCATTTAAATAAATTTACAACTGTTTTGCATTTGCTCTTGAGTTAAGCAGGAACAACAGTAATTGGAAAAATATATACTAAATACGACAACAACCTAATTTAAATAGATTCCAATAAATCATCATAGTCTATATACTGAATCTTCCTTTCATCCACTGACTGTTAAGAACTAAAGTAAGACGCTTTGAACTCAATTAATCATCTGTACTAAGCAATTCTGTAATTTGTCCATTTAAAAAAGTCATTTGGCTCCTAAATGTTTCATTTTAGTTGTATATTTTTGTCTGGAGCCCTGTGACTCAAATGATCATAACTCTTTGTGGCCTACAGAGGCAAGATGCCGCAACAGAAATAAATTGGTTTACACGTTTTTTTGTGAGATCTTCTGTTATAATCTTAAAAATGTCTGTTTTTTAACTGCTTTTTGCCTTTGTACAGGGCTAAATCCACTAATTCTCACTAATATATTCCCTTGTACATGTCAATTTATTCACTGAAATCATCACCAAAAGATTTGCTAGATATTTTAATCATTTAAACTAATTTGAATGTTACGCACTGCTGGAATCAAGTTTGGTGTAGATTTGAAAATGATTTGTGCTGCTTTGCCATGCTGTGTTTGCTTACTGTAGAAATAACCTCCTTCTTAACGCTCCTTGTTTTTGCAGTGGATGGAGCTCCGATTCAATACACTGGCCAAGTGCCCGCATTGCAAAAAAATGTGAGTCGCCATCATTTGTCATATTATTTGTACGTCAAAAATGTGATGTCTGTGGCAATACTCCACCAGTGATGTGCCGTTCTCAGGAGAAATGTCATAAATTTCAAAGTGTGATGTGCTTTACTAACCGGAGGTCAGGCTTGAGGTTGTGCTGGCCAGAAGTGAAAGTAAATAAACCCTGGTGAGTTCCAGTTAGAGAGGGAGGCAATGTGATGCCAGTCTGCCAAGCGTATCATGCTGACATACTGAAACATGAGCCCTGCATGCTAGTGACGCTGCGAGGGAGACTTATGACAACAGATGTTGCAGCACCCATGATGCAGCTGAGAGTCTCCCAAAGCAAATCACAGATTTCCACTCGAATGCAGAGGATCTGAAGAGGCAGAGAAGGAGAGAAATTCAGCACCTTAAGCTATCGGAATCGTTGTGATTCCAGAAGAATGTTTAAAAATCCCATCACATGAGAAGCATGTGAAGGGTCATGGTAAGACTTAATGGCCCTCAAACAGACCATGTGACTCAGTGATGAAGTTCTTTTTTGACTACAAGAATTTGTAGGGCTGCCGGCATACTGGAAAAATTATACTTTGGACCAACTTAAAAAATACTACTAAAATACTAATTTGTTAAGCCAATTTTGTTAGTTTTTCTCCTGTTATATTTAGTTTAAGTCCTTACAACGTCCTCAAAATATTTATTTTCCAAAGACAAAAACATTCAAACAAAGTAAAAAGATTATTTATTAGAAAGACCATACTTAATCAATATATTTTCTTTAGACATAAGCCAAAATAGTACTTAATGTCGGTCAGAATAATATTCGTTTGGATTTTTACATCTTAGTTTCACCATTTGCTTTTAGAAAACTGAACAGAACAGGATTTTAGTTTGACCAATATAAAAATGCACTTTAAAAAATGCACTGACACAGTCATTTAACTTTTTTCAGTGTACTGTAGCTTACTTTCGGCCTAGTTTGGATATTTGTTTTTCTGTGTAGTTGCCATTAAACTCTTCTTTTCCTATGTAGGGTTGCAAGCCAAGCACTGACTAATTCCTGCTATAAAACCATTAGACCTCTGTACTGAGAGGCTGAAACAGCCCAATAAAACAGCCACATTAGGTGTGTGGTCATGCAGTTTAAATCTTCTCTAAGCACGTGTGCTATCTTTGTCTTCAGATCCTCTGTAGGCAGTGCTCTACCCAGAAGGCGCTGCTGTGCCTACATTACAGTAGGAATGATCTGCATTTTCATCGGTATCGGTTTAACGGTGAGTATTATTTAGTATAGTTCATAGTCATAGTCATAACAAATTTTGCTGCATTCTCTACCGTCCCAAAATGTTGGGGTCAGTATGTTTTCTTTATAGAAATGTATACCTTTATTCAGCAAGGACGCAAATAAAAGTTTGAACTTTCTATTCATCATAGAAAATTGAAAAATAAAATGCATCATAGCAGCTTACACATAAATATTAAGGAGCACAATAGTTTTCAACATTGATAATAATAAGAAAAGTAAATCAGCATCTTAGAATGATTTCTGAAGGATCATGTGACACTGAAGACTGGAGTAATGATGCAGAAAATTCAGCTTTGCATCACAGGAATAAATTACATTTTACAATGTATAACAATAGAAAGTTATTTTAAAATTGTAATATAATATTACTGTTTTTACTGTATTTTGGTCAAATAAATGCAGCCTTGGTGAGCATAAGAGACTTCTTTCAAAAACATTTTAAAAAAATCTTACTGACCCCAAACTTGGAACGTATATTTATTTATGTGTGTGTGTGTTTTTATATATATATATACAGTATATATATACAGTGGGTACGGAAAGTATTCAGACCCCCTTAAATTTTTCACTCTTTGTTATATTGCAGCCATTTGCTAAAATCATTTAAGTTAATTTTATGTATGTATATTTAGATATATTTGAATGTTTATTGATGTTACATTTTTGTAACCATGACAATGGAAACTATTTTGGATTGTTTTTTGTTTGTTTTTTTGTTTTGTAGTATAACAGTATAAATGTATAACATTTTAATCAATGTATAAAATATAATTTTTCTTCTATATGTCAAAATTTTTTCAATACTTTGATTTTTTCAATACATTTTTTATTAAGAAGGGCAAATTCAGATAATTTCGCATCTAAAAGGGTAAAGCATTTTCTCCAATTAACTTTTGCTCTTCCATCCATATTTTAATGTAACAAGTATTATACAAAAAGAAATGGGTGATGGAAAAAAAATGAAAACATAAATAAAACACCCAACAGCAACAAGGAGATAAAAATTATGCAAAATATTATTTGTTTTACAGAGTCAAAGATTCTAAATGATTTATTCATATGTGACCCTGGACCACAAAACCAGTCATAAGGGTCAATTTTTCGAAATTTAGATTTATACATTATCTGAAAGCTGAATAAATAAGCTTTCCATTGATGTATGGTTTGTTAGGATCGGACAATATTTGATACAACTATTTGAATATCTGTAATCTGAGGGTGCAAAAACAAATCTCCTTTAAAGTTGTCCAAATGAAGTTCTTAGCCATGCATATTACTAATCAAAAATTAAGTTTAAATATATTTACAGTAGGACATTTACAAAATATCTTCATGGAATATGATGTTTACTTAATATCCTAATGATTTTTGGCATAAAAGAAAAATCAATAATTTTGACCCATACAACGTATTTTTGGCTATTGCTACAAATATACCCCAGCGAATTAAGACTGGTTTTGTGCTCCAGGGTCACATATTAGTTGTCTCTGTCTCAGTGAAACTGCACCTGTCATGTGATGAACCACCATGATTTTGATCCTAAAAGTGTTTTTCAAAGGAGTTTCACTACATGGCAGTATGGATAAAAACAAAAAACCTTCCTGGACACTCTAAGTAATTCCATTACACTCCTGGATACACAGTGGAACATTGTATATTTTTCACTGACTTGAAGTCACAGTTTTCTTTAGTAACAGTTTCTTCAGTCACGCTTGTCATTTTTCAACAGGGTCAGATGATCATTCTCACAGTTTGATTTGAACCATATATTATGTTGCAGTTCCTAAAATAAGTTACTATCCAACTAACCAGAAACACTCAAATTAGCACTTGGCAGTTGTTCAGTTTGGACTCTGGATATAAACTATTAAACTAAGTTTGTTGGCTCATCACAGATCCCTGGTGTTTTTCCTCTCAGGTGGGCACTCAGGACTTCGCCAGGCGTTACCATGCTACTTACGTGTCCTGGGCCTTCGCGTATCTCCTGGGTCTCATCTGTCTGATACGGGCCTTCTACTGGGGAGTGATTAAAGTCAGCTATCCAGAGAACACCTTTGCATAGGCAAAGCGTCCATCCTTCAAGTCCTTAGTGTTTGATTTCTCTTGATTTGAACAGGTTACAACTGTTACAAGAACATAAGAATCCAGGGGGTTTAGGTACCTGCAAATGTTTTAGATTGAGTTATTGATTAGCTCTGATGTAACTGATTTGAACCCGCAATATGATGACTTGAGGAATTAAGGTTGAAATCAGTGGTTCTAAGACTAGAAAAATAATACAAATAATCCATGGTACACCTCTTGGATTTGTCATGGTTGGTGGATATCAAACATATTTTATGTACGGCATTTTGTTACCAACTTGACCAAAAGAGACGATCTTTTATGAACAATTTGTCCATTGCACTACGATTTTATGCAATTCTTCTGTTGTGTTGCTGCTGGTCACTACAGCTGTTAGGAGCTGAGAGATGTTATGTGTTCAGAGAGCCTGGCACTATCTGTCATATTCAGATATATTTAACTGTTCTTAAAATCCTGTGCCAACATTTTTTTTGTTGTTCAGTATCCGTTAGGGGATCTCCCTCTGATGAAATTTAGCAGTATTTTCAAACATATTTTGGCTGCTCAAACTCACTGTGAGCAATAATCATGCATTTTTTGTGGCTTTAAAAGAAAAACTGCATGTACACAGACACTGGACCTCTAAAACAAAATTCTGGGTTCAATATAAATTAAGCTGATTAGACAGTACTTGTGGCATAATATTGATTGAATAACACAAAAATAATTTTGACAATACAAAAAAAAAAAAAGCACTGACGCAATGGAAGTGAATGGGACCAATTCATAAATGTTCAAATACTCAGTCTTCCGATAGTATAAGAGCAAGATGTAAATAATATGAGATTTTATATGTGAAAAAATTACACTACCATTAAGAAGCTTGGGGTCAGTAAGAAAGAAGTGTCTTATGCTCACAAAGGCTGGATTTATTTGATCAAAAATACAGTAAGATAAGGAATATTATAACATATATTATTACATTTATTATTAAAAATAATGTTTCTATTTCACTGTATGTTAAAATGTAATTTATTCCTGTGATCAAAGCTGAATTTTCAGTATCATAACTCCAGTCTTCATTGTCACATGATTTTTTCAGAAATCCTTCTAATATGCTGATTTGCTGCTCAACAAACTTTTATTATTATCAATGCTGGAAACAGTTGTGTTGCTTAATATTTATGTGGAACTGATACATTTTATTTGAATGTTTCTATAATGAATTGAAAGCTCAAAAGTTCATTTGAAATATAATTTATTGTAATAATGAATAATGGGAGTGAATGAGCAGCACTCTCTTCCACCTTCAATACCACGACTGAGGTGAGACCCTTGAGCAAGGCACCGAACCGGGTGTGTGTGTGCACTTGGAGGGGTTAAATGCAGAGCACAAATTCCGAGTATGTGGCACCATACTTTGCTACATGTCAAGTCACTCACTAATTTGCCTAAACACCTAAAACAACTTGACAGTTTTACAGAAGGATTAATGTAAGTGCATTTATACAATTATAAGCTTCCCATTTATACTTTTAAATACTCCAAAAATTGGCCCCAATCACTTCCATTTGAAGAGCCTTACTGTAACCTTAGTTTTTGGTTTAAAGAAAACAAGTATAAAATATATATATATATTTTGTGGCCACAAATGCTGTGTAATTGATCTGAACTTAAACTGAACCTGAAATATTTCTTTAATTTACTCCCTGATCAGTAATATTGACACTTGGTGAATGGGAAATGACATGTGCATGATTGTATTTGGATTCTTTTGTACTCAGAAACCGTGTTTTGTTAGTCTGTTACTGACAGGGCACAGTGGAAGTGTTACGCCATGTGTCTAGTGCTCCTTCCTGTGTGTAGAATGTAAACGCCCCACTGCTACCCGCCTAAATCCACAACTCGCCACAACCTTGCTAGTATTGCTGTAGCTTACATTTACAGTAGTTCTGTATTTTGTCAAGACAAACGGAGATAACTATACTATCTAAACTTGTTCTGAATGTGACAAGTCAGTGAAGTCCTTGTACATAGGAAACTGAGCACACAAAGTCTGTAGTTCAAGTTGGAATATGGCTTGGGTCTTTTTAAAACAATAATTTCTCAATAAAATGCTAAAATATTCTTTACCCTTTGACTGTGTGATGCTTCGTGCCAGCTTGATTTCAATTGTCGCAAATATGTTATTTTGCATTTCACAAAAGCCTCCTGATTTTCTTTCATTTGGCACAATGTGTCATTTGGACGAATAAGGCACGCTTTGCTTTGTAACAAGTGGCATCATTAGTATTTTTGATTAGAATATTCTTGTCTCTACTGTCCCACAGGCTTGTTAATGAAAGATTCAGGAATGCTCTGTGTGTCTGTTTAATGCAGGCACATGATATATTTCAGTAAGAAGCCCACAGCACAGCGTCTCTCAAAGGTCAGGCTGTCATTAGAGTGAACGTCACCTGTAGCAGCAGACAACAGGGGCCCGCAAGTGGCTTGATATTCACACAAACAGGAAGAACGGGAAGCTTGTAAGATGCTTTTGCCATTGTGTCATTATTTTCAGGACAGTTAAGCACATTTCCCTTCATATTCTGGTTGCTGTACTCTCATTACTTACCTTTCATTCTTATCACTGTAAAACAGTAATGAAAGTCATTTTGTACTTTACTTCACCACTTAAATGTTTTGTTTCCTATAGTGATGAGAATTAGAGGGGGCAGGAATTTGATTAATTGGTATGCAAATAATGTCAATGCAATTTATCTTAATGAACCTCATTTTCATTATATAATTATAACATTTAATTAAATTATATTGTAATAGTTAATAGTAATATAATAGTTAAATTATAAATTATATCTATTATTTTTTCTTTTAGGTTTGGGAAGTGGTATTTTAGTATCATTGATATACTACTATAGTTTTTTAATATTTTGAATTAGATAATATTTTCATGTTTTATATATGTTCTGTTTTCATTTTAAATTTGAGTAATTTTGTTGTGTGCTTTTGTTTTTATTATGTTTTGTTTTCTTAATATGTCTATAGTTTTTAGTTTTACTTTAAAGTACTAAAATAACTCAAACTAAATAAAGCAAAACAAAAATGTGTTCTGTTGCCTTGCCAAATAAAAATAATTGATTTATTAATTAAAATTTAATGTTTATTTTATTTCAAGTAATGAAAGTGTTTTATTATGGTTTTGGTTTAAAATCTGGTTTATATATATATATATATATATATATATTACCAGAGTGGTCTAACCTTTGGTCAAATGGTCAAACCTTTTTTTTCTTAAATCAGGTTTATATATATATATATATATATATATATATATATATATATATATATATATATATATATATATATATATATATATTTATTATT